GAGAGAGAGAGAGAGAGAGAGAGAGAGAGAGAGAGAGAGAGAGAGACTGCAGTCGGCCGTTGGATGTGGTGAGTGGTTGGCCGGTGACACGGGTAGGCCGTGAGATGTGGTGGGCACAGTGATTGGCATGCAATGTTTGACCGTCGACGCATGAACGATGCACAAAAATGGGAGATTCAGGTCAGTGGCCCCTCCGCTCTCCTCCTCCGCCTCTCCCCCCTCCCCCAAGACCCCCCTCCTCCTCCTCCTCCGCCCCTCCCTCCCCAGCCTCCGCTCCTCCGCGGCCCCTCCGCTCCATCCCGTCCTCCTCCACCGCTCCCCTCCGCCAGCGCTCCCCTTCTCTCTCCTCCACCAGCGCACTCCCCGGCCAGGGCTCCCCTCCGCTCCCCTTCGCCAGCGCTCCCCTCCACTCCCGTCCTCCCTTCCGCCAGCGCTCCCCTCCACTCCCCTCCTCCCCTCCGCCAGCGCTACCCTGCACTCCCTTCCTCCCTTCCGCCAGCGCTCACCTCTACTCCCCTCCTCCCCTCCGCCAGCGCTCCCCTCCACTCTCCCCCGCCCGCTCCTCTCCACCTGTGTTCCTTGCGCTCCCCTCCGCCAGCCCTCCCCTCAACCAGCGCACCCCCAGCCAGCGCTCTCCTCCGCTTGTGCTCCCCTCCGCCAGCGCTTCCCTCAACTCCCTTCTGGCCGCTCCCCTCTGCCTGCGCTCCCCCCCTTGCTCAGCTGCTCTTCCACCTATCGGCTGCTCCTCTGGCCCTTTCCCCTCCTCCGCCACTCTTCACCCCCCAGCTACTACTCCATCTCCACCGATCCACCGCCGCTCCACCCCCTCCTCCACCGCTCTTCGCACCAGTGCTCCCCTCCGCTCCCCTCCGCTCCCCTCCGCCAGCGCACCCCTTCGCAAGCGCTCTCCTGCACCACCGCTCCCCTGCGCCTGCACTCCTTTCCACTCCCCTCCGCCAGTGCTTCCCTGCACCTGCGCTCCTTTCCACTCCCCTCCGCCAGCGCTCACCTCCACCCCCTCTGCTACCGCTTCCGCATCAGCGCACCTCTGCCTGCGCTCCCCTGCAGTCCCCTCCGCTAGAAGAAAGAAAAAATGTTAGGCGGGCACTCTGAGAGAGAGAGAGAGAGAGAGAGAGAGAGAGAGAGAGAGAGAGAGAGAGTTCCGGCCGCCTTTGAAAGACAGAAAATGCTAGATCGTGCGCGGGGTTTCTTCCCGGGCGCGCACAGAGAGAGAGAGAGAGAGAGAGAGAGAGAGAGAGAGAGAGAGAGAGAGAGAGAGAGAGAGAGAGAGAGAGAGAGAGAGAGAGAGAGA